GTAGTAAGCTGTTGAAACGTTTTAAGAATCCCTTTAATGTATTGCACAATCTTGGCCTGATTAATAAAAAAGATATTTGAAGAAAGCACTTGCGAAAGAGGCTAACTATTAAAATCTACCTGTAGATAATCTATATAACATTCTATAATGCACTGAGCTTCCCTCAGATAATGTGTCATTGTGGGAGGAAAACAATAAAACTATCACTTCAAGAGTTTTGAGTCAAAACATCTTGGAATTATTGGCAGATTCAGGCAAAACCCCTGTGGTATTTGTGATTGACAGCAGATATTCACAGGGGCCACTTAAACCATTCAAAAATCAGATCATTTAATCAAAGGATGAAAAGGTGGAAAATATTCTATCAAGCCAAGAAAATGCGTATCATCTGTTGCCTTTCAGTTGAGAGAAATAATTCGTGTCCTTGAAAACAAGGGTGTGATGAAATTGTTCGGTTAGAAATAGTTTTTACCCTGAGCACTGGGGGCCCTGAAGAGAATGATACCCCAACCAAGGACAATGTATAGAGAGGACCTAAAACCAGGCTCAGATGTAGCCTATAGACTCAACCCCGTAGACTAGGGTCCCTAGTAAGGGGAGCAGGAACTTTCTCTGGCATGAACTTAGTGGCAGGCTCTCAGATCTCCCCCCCCCCTTTGGGGTAGAACCTTGCCAGGCCACAGAGGAAGACAATGGAGAGGAAGATGGGATAGGGGAGGGGGGCACAGTCAGGATACAAGATGAATAAACTGTAATAAGTTATAATAATAAAAAAAATTTAAAAGAAATAGTTTTTTACCATCAAGTAAATGTTCACTTTCTACTGAGAATTTCCAAGCACAGATGGAATGTAAGTCATCCACTTGATAAGTGGCACACAAAATTCTCTTCAATTCTTTGAGTTTCCAGTCTCTCTTTCTCACCTCCATGGTTGGACATACCCCTTTTCACATCATCAAGAACTTCCTTCCTGTCCCTCATTCCAGGCCTTGTACTTCACCCAAAATGATTTCTAATTGAGCAAGCAGCTGTGCTGGCATAGCATGCATGGGGCATGGGGCCACAAAACCAGTGGTCCATTCCCACAGCTGAACACAAGTGGCCAGTTCCTTGTACCTGGGGCCAAGAAACTCCGCAATCCATCAGAGAAAAAGACTAGGACACTTCAAACAGAAATCAGACTTCAAAAAGGTACTTTTTATGGAAAATTAAAAATTCTAGAGGGCTGTCAATCAGAAATGAGGGAGGGCTGAGCACTTTTGGCAAAGAGTTTGTGAATATATTTTCATAAAAAGATAGCAGAGTATGGTTTCAGTGAATGACCTTCATGGCTAGACTGGATGTGACTCTGTTCATAAGCATAGGTAAGTCAAATGTACCTGTAACAATAATAAAACCTAAAGGGCGCCACCTTAAATACTTCTCAGGTTCTGTGGTAAGCCACCATGACCAACACAGCTTGCAGAATAAAGAGTTGGTTTGGCCCTTACAGTTTTGAAGGGTGGGGATCATGGCAGCTGGCAGTCAGGTATGACTCTGGAGCAGTAGCTAAGAGCTTACATCCTGATCTATAAGCATGAAGGAGACAGACCTTGCTGATAATGGTGTGAGTCTTTGGAAACCCCAGAGCTCACTCCCAGCAACATACCTTCTTCAATAGAGCCACACCCCCAATCCTTCCCGAACAGTTCCCCCAAGTGGGGAACAAGTTTTCAAAAAGATGAGCCTATGGAGGGTCAATCTCAGTCAGGTACCATAATAATGAAAGCTGCTATTGTGCTGTTACCATCCAGCCTTGCCTGGACTCCTACTCGCTGAAACATCTCATTTGATGCTGCCAACAGAGAGTTAAAATTCTGTTTTAATGTTTGACATTTAGAGAAACTGTAATTCAGAATGTTCATAAAAGTAGCAACCGACTCTGACACTTGGCCACTATTTTACACTCAGTCCCTTGAAGTCACCAAAAACAATTTTGCTAATCCTAAAGATAAAGCTGGTCAGCCCATTTTCAGAGGCACAAAGACTCCACTTGAAATTTCAGGAAAACTGTACTCCCCACAGCTATTATTCATGAATCTACAAGTATAATTTCATACCTACTAGTTTAGTCAATTTTGAATTTATTTTTCAGAAATGCAAAGAATACTAAATTTGCACTAAATCCCTACCACCTGGTAGCCAGTAAATACAATAAGGCAAGAGAATAAAATGAAATATTCTTTTAAATGGTCATTTATGTTTCTATTTGTTTTGCTTTGGAGATAGGGTCTTACTCTTAGCTCAAACGGCCTTGCCCTTGCTCTGTAACCCAGCGAGGCCTTGAACTCATGACATTCTTCCTTACTCAACCTATTGAGTGCTAGGATTATAGGAGTGATCAAACAGGTTGGCTGAATGGGCATTTTTACATGGCACATTAATGTGTTTTTGAAAGTATTTTATACATTTTTTAACTCTGATTTCCCCACATTATAAAAATGCCTTCAAAATTGGGGGGGGGGGGGACAAATACTCCAAGTATGAACGCAAAAAAGGCAGTCCATCTCTTGGATGGAACAAACAAAAACATTGAAACTTTCACATTCATCTCTGATTATTTCTATAATGCTAAGAGCAGATTGCTCTTTAGTGTTTATGAAAGTCCAGAGAAGCTGCACATATATATACTTAAATCCCCACCCCTAACAAAAAGATCTGGTGAATAAAGAAAACTTTTTTTTTTTTTTTTTTTTTTTTTTTGCTTTAGGGGTTCGATTACCAACAGCAATCAGAGCATAATTAAATATTTATGGTGATAGAATAATGACAATCAGAAACTACTCTTGGTCGGTAAGAGGGCAGTCTGTAACATCTTTGGAGGTGATATGAGAAGATGACATCTGACAAATAAAATCATTCTTCCTCATTTGATAAATAGCTTAATGACTAAAAAGAAGCCATAGACTAACAAAAAAAAAATCTTTACATTCTGAAACACTTAATTTGCAATGAAAATAATTAATAAACTAAATTTCACTTGTCATAATTAAACTGGACTAGAAGGGACAATTAGTTGTGAAAATAGGGATGAGCCATCATTTGAGCAACTGTATGAGAGCGGGTAGAATTAAAAAAACAAAACTAAACTAAACTAAAGCTAGACAATATTGTGATTCTACTGTTGTAGAAACTTTTGCTTTGGTAACTTTGCTCCTGATGAAATATAAATGGAACAATGAAAATGTTGATGAATAAGCTCTTAAGAAATATCTGTGGGTTAGCTTATCTAACCCTAAGTTTAGATAAGCTGAAAGCCCTGCGCATCTCACAACCTTAAAGTGACATTTGAGAACATAAAGTGAGCAAGCCAGCTTCTGGGTCCAACACTGGCAGGTGGGCACCTCTTCCCAGGAGTCAGCAGGCGTGACTCCCTGGTATTCAGGGCCACCTCCTGATTACTCATACAACACATAGCATACAGGCCCCTAATATCAAACTCATACTCCCCATTATTTTATTATAAAAAATATCTGACAGTCTTGGTAAGAAAACAAAACAATTGTTTTGGTGTTGTTTGGGGTTGTTTTCTTTTTGGTTTTTTGGTTTTGTTTGTTTGGATGGTTGGTTGGTTTTTTTCAAGACAGGGTTTCTCTATGTACCCTTGGCTGTCCTAGACTCACTTCTTCTTTGTAGGCCAGGCTGGCCTTGAACTTACGGAGATCTGCCTGCCTCTGCATCCCTGAGTTCTGGGTGCTGGGATTCCAGGCATGTGTCACCACTCCCAGCTTCACATTTCCCTCTAAGTTAACATTTATGTAAAATAAAGGCGTCTGTGTTAAAGAACTTCATTTTCCAACAAATTCTTCTCCTTTAAAAAGGTATGTGTTTATGTTGTGTTCACTTTGTCTGTTGATTGCATCAGACCACATGAAGCATAGATTTGCACCATCTAAGTGCAATATTCAAGGTGCTATGATTTCATGAGCACTGAGTTTCTTAAAACTTGTTCTGCTCTTATGGGGCATGTGGCTATACAAGCAGCCATTGTGATGCCATAACATTTAACTCTTAGGTGAAACATAGTCCAATTCCCACACACACAAAAAAGGTATGTGTTGTTTCCAATAATTCATTAAAAATTAAAAACTTCTATTCTAAATGGATAAATAGGTCAAGAAAAATATCCTATAATTTTGCAACTGTTAGAAACTGATACATGAGTCATAATAAAATCTTCCCAGAAAAAAAAATAGAATTCCTTTATATTTTAAGTTATTACAAGAGTCTGAGATTAGCAAATATCTTCTATTTGTTATAGTAATTGAAGTAATGAAATAAAAATACTGACAGCCATGTCTGTAATCCCAGCACTCAGGGAAGCAGACACAGGTGAATCTCTGTAAGCTTGAGGCCAGCCTGGTCTATAAAGCAAATCCAGGACAGCCAGGATACACAGAGAAATACTGACAACATATAAATTTGAAGATTGTTATAGAAGAAAATTTTCAGGTGCCCCTTCTCCTTGCTTGGCATTCATCCTATCCAAGTTATTTTATGCCTTGCAAATAGCACAGTTAACCGAACACATAAAAGCTTTTACTCTACAGAACTAAGTATGATTTGCTTTACACATTTTGAGACAGTTAGTAATATGATCAGAGTAGATAGTAACTGTGAGACCTATCGTATTTATTTCTATGAAGAGCAATCTCTGAGTCTCAAACCATGGCTATATTTCTGGTTTTAGGAAAAATAAATGCCCCTGACTTTGGAAATGTTATGCAGCTTAAGTGTGCTGGATCTAGAAGACCTGTAAGTATGACTACGGACATGTAGCTGATTCTAAATTGTATTTTTCTTTTCTTTTTTTTTTTTTTAGTTTAGACCCACAGACAATTTCAATCAAATAGTAAAATATTGTATCATGTGACTTAGGCTCCAGAGCAATGGTTATTGTTCTTTATATAAGTCAATAAAGAATTTTAAAAAAAGCAACCAGGAAATTCAAAAGTACAAACCTGGGCATCTGAAAATGCATCCTTCATACTGTTGATTGGGCCATATGGGATCCCACTTCCTTCAAAGAGACAAAGCCACTTGGCTGTCACTTCTTCTGCAAACCTAGGTATAGAGAAACAGGGTGCTTTACAACCAAAAGAAGGTGACACCAGCTTTCCTCTTATGTGGCCATCTTTCAGAGTAACTAATTGTGACAACAATATGCTTTCCCTTCACTCTGGGAGTCTAGAGAAACCCATCTATAGAATGTGATTTGAGTGGTCCTGCTGTGGTCAGAGAAGCCACCCAGGCTAGTAGAGTGCTTCCTCCCAGTTCTAGCCTAAGTAAGTATCCTCTGACAGAGCATCTCTGGAAGGAGACATTTGAAGGACATGCACTGAATTATAAGTGCTTTTGAGTGAAACATATATAAGCATCATAATTGCACTGTGAGCATGAAATCAAGACATAGAATATTTTTTAAGTTTCAGATACGCTATACCAGGTTAGAGTACTAGATAATCCTTCAAAAATAAAAAAAAAAAATTAAAAAATGGATTTTTTTAAAAAGAAAAAAACTAAAAACAAACTAGTATTTTAAAAGTAAGCTACTAATGAGATAGATAAGAATTAATGGCCGCAGTCACTGGCTTTAACTCCTTGTTACTCTATCGGCACCGTGAGGTAGAAATTGGAAAAGCACATATGTAAAGACATCTGCATTCAACACCTAGTTTCTACATACAAGGCATCACTTTCTACCATTATGTTCAATGACCTTCCTTTTCTCTGGAATTGAATTGTAGTGAACACAGATTTTTCCTGTCTGAGTGTCCCACACGCCTCTAGTACCCGAGCTTGGGGAGTAAAAACAGAAGGATCAATTCAAGGTTATGTTAGGCTACATAACAAGTTTAATACCAGCCTGGGCTAATATATATATATATATATATATATATATATATATATATATTAGCCCAGGCTAATAATATATAATATATATATTTCAGTACCATAATTTGAGCTCTCTACACGCAGTTTGAAATAATATAATTCACTTTGAAGTATTGAAAATCATTTTTTTTTTCATGAAAATACCATAATATAAGGCTAAATATCTGGCTTCTGGTTAGTTCTTGACCTTTTCTTTTCAATCACTGCTACTGTTGTCTCCTGGCCAAGACTTCCAGAGCGAGAAAGAGACAGATTATCAAAATGATACATGTTGAAAAAAATCAAAAAATACTTTACACCTAGAACCTTTTTTCACAAAGTGTCTGTTATTTAGGTTTTCCTAAGGGGTGTGTTATAATAGTTGGTCTGATAAATTTTCAAGATAACTAATTTATAATCAGTGGACCACGCAAATGGTACAAATGATATACACAGAAAATGTATGTCAATAGATCAAGGGGTCGGGCTAGCTAGAGAAAATTTTGGGACCATGTGAAGCTTTAATATTTATACAAGCTTTCTGTCCTCAGGGTTTACTTCCAATTATAGGCAAAATGAGGCTCTATTTCATTTTACAGAAGATAGCCTATGCACTTTGGAAAGGAGCCTGGGGCATAGTAAGTATCTGGGACCTAAGCTGTGGCCACTGTGTAAGTGTGGATGGTGCTCAGTCCCTAGATACCACAAAAATCAATCAGTCAGAGATGACTGGCATGCTGCATTCCACCTCTCCTAGAAAACCAGCCCTTCATCTTCTCCAAAAACCTATCTCTTGATCTAAGTCCGATGGGAAGCTTTTCTTTATCCACAAAGGGGTTGCAATAAAAGCACATGTTTTCACTAACCACAAAAGCTCTCAAGAAATAAATAAGAACAAAAGAAAAAAGAAAAAAAATGCTGACCTGAAACAGTCAGAGCAAAAGAATTTGGAGGATAAGGCAAAAGTGAGTGGAATGTCTAACCAACCAGCTCAGCTCTGCAAGGGAGTTGTGCGGAGTTCCATAAACACCGCAGCCTTAACTGGAAATTAACTTGTCTCAAATATTTAATCCTTGAATTGTGTCAAACCCACTCAACACAAGAAAGCAGTATTCTGAACCAGACATCTTGAGATATGTTATAGAGCAGCTATCTTTTCCAGTTATCAGCTTATATCATAGAAGCACCAACAAGTTCAGTGTCATGACCTTGCTAGCCCAGGGTATAAATCACAAGTCTCAAAGCTCTTAGCTGGTGAGCCCTAAATGTTTTTATTTGGGTTTTTTGTTTGTTTGTTTCTGTTTTTCTGACCTCAATTTGTAGAGTGAAATTAAATAATAATAACCAAAACTCTGGCAGATGGTTCCTGCTTAAGCCATAAGCAATGGAACTACTATATGTCCCCAAGTTTGCAAAGGAAAATGGAGGCACTCTGTATTGAATGAGTTGCCTGTAATTTGCCACTCTTGCTCTCTTTCCATCTGGCACCCCTGGAGCTGTGGAATGTCATATCTCTTCAGCAACAAACCTGAGCTGGTTCATTTGCTTGCATTTTGGAGGTTGAAACATGGAAGCTTTATTGGGGTTCAAATTCAAGTTGGCATTCTAGCCTAGGGTTCATCTCACAGCACAGCGCTGCCATATCTGGAAGATAATGACAGTCACTGGCCACAAACATTTACTGGGAGAAGACTGCCTTTTAATCCTCACATAACCCAGATCTGTGCTCCTGAGTCAGCTGGTTGCCCTCTCTGCACTCCAAGCCATCCATGTTTTAGGACAAGTATAATAGTTGTAAATTACTTATGGTAGGACATGATAAGTAACCAAAATGGCATTTACTTGGCAGCGATTCCACTCATAATAAAAATAAGGGTAACAAAACCTCCCATAATTGCAGATCACCATTAGAATGTGAGTTCTACAGTATCCCAATCTATTACTACTTATCTGTCAGGTATTTTTTGGTCACAAAAGCTTAAGTTTCCAGAACTTATAAAATATATTTTTATCTTTGTTGTTGTTGTTGTTGTTATCATTTGTTTGTGCCTTTCTCTATAAAAACATCTTTGTACTGAGGCCTCTAGGGATTTAGCGATGACTCGACTCAGGAATCCCACTTGGTCTTCATTATGCTTGGAGCTCTACCATAGGGAAGGATGAGGCAGAGACTCAAGCTGAGCAGGAAACAATAAATCAGGCTTTTACCAGGCCAACAACTAAGACACTTAGAAACAATTTAAAGAGTCACCAACAAACACCGCTTGTGGACAGACTAAAGAGGTTAAGGGTTCGCTTTCATCTCATCTTAAGAGTTCAGTGTAAAGCCAAAGCTTCAACTCTTAAAGGCGATGAGAGTGTGCATGCTGACTTTGTTGTCATGGCTGCATGATGGCTGCAGGCCTCTAGGCAGGACCTTATAAATGATGAGAATATGTGGAGCCCCTGTTAAATCCATAGCTGGATGAGGTCTGTGCACCTCTACCCTTAGCCTGCTGGCTTCAAAATTATTAACAACAATGTGAAGCCAAAGAAATGTTGTCTCTTTCCTTATTGCCTGACAGGATTTTTAAAGTACTCAAAGAGAACCTTTCTCCCCCCCCCCCCTTTTCCAGAGTTTTCCTAATAAAGGGCAAAGTCCTTTATTAGAAAAACCATAAGTGCATCAGTGCCGCTGTACTTGGATAACTATTTCCTTGAAATAGTTGTGCACCATCCCTGCCTCTTAGACTATTTCTGCCTTCTCTTCTGCATAGAACCCTGAACTTAAAAGGAAGGGGTTTGATAAAGACACCCAGGTTAATGCTGATTTTTCCAAAATTTCTCATTCTCTGCACAGTGTCCAGTTATGGGCTGTTGGGAGTTGGTCTGGTGCTACGTATTCTAATGCTAATTACTAGTCTCCAAGATCTGGTTGCATCTTAGACAAGCACATTCTCATGTATACCATTTGATGCTGTGTAACTCACTACCTAATTATCCCTGATTAGTTAATAAAGTTGCTGACAGTGTGAGCTGGACAAAAGAGAGGTAGGCAGGGCTTAGGTTCCTGGGCTTGGGGTCTGAGAGGGACCACAAGGCTGGGAGAGAAGGAAACAACACAGAAGATGTAGTAGGAGGAGAGGAATATGGAGAAAAGGAAGTTGTCATGGGGCAGTATGGACCATGAGCACATGGCTATGAAGACAGATGGAACAGAAGCAGCCCAGACAGAAATGATTAAGTCAAGTAACATGGTGTGTGTAGCTGGGAAATATTAAAATAGCTTAGAGAGTTGATATCTGCCCAACTCTAGTGTTTTAAAGTTTATAAAATAAATTATAGTCTCTCTGTGCCAATTATTTGGGAACTAGCCAGGGTAGAGAAGCCTTCAAGAGTCTAATATAATTTTCTACAACAGTGGGTCTCTGTGCCGATTACTATGTGCTGCAAGAGGAAGCGTCTCTGATGAAGGTTGAGTGATACATTGGTCTATAGATATAGGAATATGTCATTAGGAGTCAGATACTTGCATAAGATATACACAAGTTAAAGCTAGACACAAATTCCAGCATTAAGAAGAAAAAATAGACACAAAGTCCCACCCATAGCCAAGAAATTATCTGCAGTCGATACCTTCTGGAAGAAGGAAAAATCAGTTTTCTTCAATGGAGTGAGTAGACGGCCAACACAAATCTTACTTCACTCCTCTCCTCATTTTGTTTTGTTTTAGTTTGGATTTGTTGTTGTTATTGTTGTTGGAAAAAGGGAGAAAGGACGTGAAGTTTGATGAATAGGAGAGAGGGTTATATCTGGGATTATTTGAGGAATAGGAAAATATGGTCAAAGCGTGCTGTAGGAAAATGTCTTAAAATAAGAAAAAATAGATTCTGAGACAAATGCAAAATTAAGGCTCTCTTGTTTTTTATCTTGTTATTTAATTTATTAGTGGTGACGGTATAGTAGTAGTGGTGGTAGGCATGCATTTGGAGGTCTGTGGAAAACTTTGTCAAGTTCATTGTTTCCTTTAAATGAGTTGCAGGGTTCATACTTAGGTCATCAGGCTTGTGCTACCAAAACAGAGTTTAGGTTGTCAAGCTTGCAGGACAGGTGCTGTATGTGCTGAGCCATCTCACGAGCACTATGTTGCTCTTTTCTTTTTAAACATGAGACAGAAAATATTTTATCAATATGTACTAAGTTATCTGATA